GGATTTACTTCCATTTAACACATTGCTCACGGTCACTTAAGTAATTTCGTATACAATTTAGTACCTTACTATTAATATTTATAGAGGCTTGTTTTATCAGTAGAAGGTTGTGTGGTACCGTGTCGAAAGCTTTGCTGAAATCTAGAAAGACTGCGTCTACTTGCATATTTTTGTCATTTGCTTTTAATAGGTAATGCTGGAACTCTGCTAACTGCGTGTTGCATGAAAATCCACTCCGAAAGCCATGCTGGGATGGAGTAAAAAAGTTAAAGCTCTCAAGATATTTGAACATTGCACTATATAAAATATGCTCAAAAAGCTTAGAGCAAACTGACGTTAGTGATATAGGCCTATAATTTTCTACAAGTTTCTTATCTCCGGATTTAAAAACAGGAATCACATTCGCCGTTTTCCAATCTATTGGGACCAACCCTGTTGGTCCCAATAGCGCACCTTTTGTACACATAAAGCCCTTGAAGCAGCATGTAGCAGGTTGTTCGCTCTGGCGCATTTCGGCGCAGCAGTTCCACCACTGAAAGGGCCTATCATGTCATATGCATATGAAATGTACTGCTACATAACAATACATCAACACATACTATTAAACTAGATGCTCAGAGTTGTGTTTGTTTTTGTAATTACCAAGTTACAGCAATAATTATTTCTCACAAGTGCAGCATTTATTTCTGGTGGCTGGGACCGTTTTGTGCTCGATGATGTCAGTGTGCTATGATGTTATTATCATGTGTGTAGTTTAAAGTATATTCTCTGCAATGCCTACAAAGGCCCTTGGAAAGAATAAATGAATGAACGTTTTCACACCACTGGAGTTTGTTTACGGATGCACCACATGTTCAGGAGAAGTGGAAGGAGTGCAGCCCAAGCAACAAGTCTGCCAGTCTGGTATGTCCCATTTATTAATATTGAGGGGTCAGAGATGCGAGTGTCCTCAAAAGGTCTAGTGCATACAGTGAACACAATTGCAGGGGTCTCCAAACTTTTTGGCCAAGGGGCCGGATTGGGGACCTGTTGCAGTCTCGAGGGCCGGAAAACAAATAAATATTATAAATCAGTAAAAACTACATTAATAAGCCCAGATGAGCATTTAAACAGTGGAGCTCAAGTTAGAGTAAAAACGAGAAGTAATCAAAGCTGGATTAATACATATACTTTATTTCGAAATTCAGCATATAGGTAATTGTGACATACGATGAGTGTGACCCAAAAAACTCACCAGGCATAAATCAAAGCACACAGAAACTCTGGAATATTTGCACAGATAAAAAAACAAAAAAACTAATGAGAACAGTAAAACTGTTATGACAATATGCAATAGTTATCACACATGAGTCATATCAGAATATACACGAGAACGGAAAGGAATTTTAACGTAGTTACAGATATAAAGCAGGAGACTAAGCACGGTGAACCTGTTGATGACAACATACGACTATATGCCATAAAACACTAAGCAGTATTTGAGCCGGAATGCATCAGAATGGCCGGCAACAATGTTTGTTTGCCATCCAAGCCACTTCACCTACATTTCACAATAGCGATTGTTTCTGCATGCCACAACCATTGCAACTTGTGTAAGTCTCGTGTGGCAAAGTGAAGTCGGCTGATGCTTGGTGTCCACTTTTGAGAACCAACCACGCTATTTCTTCAAGCCACTCAGTGGCATACTCCCTCAAAGTTGGAAATTGTGTGTTGGGAGTGGATACAGATAATTGGTGTCGGCAAATTATTAGGTATTGCCCTCGGACGACAACCGACATTAAATCAACTGTCATTGCGTTGCCGCTCGCCTGCATTGTCGTGCTTACCTCCCGTCAAGGTGACGGGGATCAGGAGCTTTGGGTTAATGTCAGCACCAGGGAGAGAGGCAGACGGAGACGCTCCTCAATATCTCGCGGTCGCACCTCGAGACATGGTCGAGGGTTGTCCGGCATGAGCCCTCGCCGGCCTATTCATTGGTACGGGCACCTCCGGTAGGCATGGTCAGCCTCATGCAGTGGTAGCAGTGTAGTTTTCGGTCGGCCACTTGCAACACCTCCGTCTTCCTCGACATACTTTGTTCAGCGCGGAGCTACACTGGTTCTTCCCAACGTTGGGAATGCTGCGGTATCAAGGTGTCTCGCTGAATTTGCATTGAATACTATACTCCGTTCCACCTTCAGTCAGAGCGCGGTGGACCCCACAAGCCATCCCAGCCGATCCAGCGCCGGGAGAAAATCGCGTGCCCTGCCGGTTGGGCAGAGGGACACAGGGAGCTCAAGGTCACATGACACCCTCCCCACGCTGGATTGGCTGGGATTACTCCCAGCGTCCGCTGCGCTTGGACTGAAGGTGAAACGGAGTATAACGGGCAGCTGGTGGCGGTTATCGTACCATTGTGGCATAGGTCACTCTCGGCTCGTCAGATGCTGCTTCGCTTCCAGAAGTCTCTGGTTGAAATGCCTGTTGAACTTCTGACCGAACAATCTCGGCAGTCAAAATAAAAGCCGGGCAACTGATGGCAGAAGTAGCTTCCCGGTCTCTTGTCGAACAATGCCGGGGATGATGTCACGGATGCCTGGGAGGGTGGCGTTGAAGTTGCAGCTGGACGACTTGAGTGTCGAGACGCCGGGGAGTTGTTGATAGTGACGGGCACAGGTGTGTAGTGCATGTTCAATGTTGGAAGCCTCAATGACGAACCCTTCGACTCTTCTCGGAGAGTTGCAGACAAGGCAACCCTCACATGAGAAACATGGGGTTCTTAGCTTGGTCTTCTGTAGCATCAAGGTAGGCGTGGGCGCTCAATCACGCACAAAACATCCTCTACGAAGGCGGTGACACTCTTGTTGGAGCCATGTCCTGGACAGAATCAGGCATTTAGCTCTCTTTCGTCGATGTTGGCTGACAAACGAGCGCTTCAGTTCGATCTTGCAAACTTCTCACGACGTTAAAGGGGTAGTGCAACAATTTTAGAGTTAAAAGAATTGGCAATTAGTGACCAGAAACACGACATCTTGCCCTACAAAACTGCTATTCCGCTGCGTAATCGCAAAGAAGAAAATGAAATATTTGCCAATCTCCAGCCGCTTTTGGTGGTCCACTTCCGCATATTCCCCAGAGTATGTCACACAACTGATGTGTGACATACTCTGGGGAATATGCGGAAGTGGACAAAACCTGTCCCCCTCCGCTGCTACTTTCGCCGTCACCCTCGTGGCGAACCGTCTTTTGTGTCAATCGCTCGCCGTGACCTTCGACGATGCTAATCCTTTAAAAGTCGACAATCACGAAGGAAGCGGCTGAGGTCTCTGAAAAAAGAACCCAAGGGGAAGCCACGTAATCCTCCAGAGCACGTCCCTCTGAAGGTGACGTGGAGAGTTGAGAGGCACTTTGACCTTCGATTTGTTTTATTTTTTATATAAAAACTAGCGGTTGCATGAAAATATGGTTTTCTGTTCTTCGTCCAAAGGGGGACACAGATTAATTTCCGCAGTTAATTGGTCAAAGTCTGAAAACCGTTGCACCACCCCTTTAAAGAGGATTCATGGTTCTCAAACCAGTATTTGGCAGTTTCTTGCACGACAAGTATAGGTCCTGCAGGTGCTGGTCGTCTGTCCACCTGTTGTAGCGGGCGACACGGTCACATTGGTCAATTCAGTCCTCAAAGTCTTCACACACCTTGCCGTGAAAGGGCGTCGAAGTGCAAAGTGAAACGGGCTTGCAAACAAAGGTGGGAGCAGACGCAGTCTTCTCCTATGGCTTTGTCATTGATGGCTTAGTCTGCTTCGGTTTTTCTGGCACAAGACCGAATTCTGGTAGCTCTTTCTGGTAGCAAGGACTGACTTGAAAATTATGTTTTTTTTTGGTATATTTGCGGGGTTCGCTCTTGTGGGACTCGCTCATCTTGCAGTTTTTCTGCCGGGCTCATAATTGGTTCACGGCTCCCCTGGGGTGCAAGATGGGGGAAAGACCGCAACCCGTGTCCCGTTGTCAAGCAACTCGGCTGAGGAGCTGCCAGGGTGCCCACAGAGTGAAGGGCTATGGGTAAAGTATACCCAGCACCTCCAACAGAACATACAATGACAGCCGAGCATGGCTGCCATTGTCACAAAACTGACAAAAGAGAGTTTACCCTCACCAGTAAAGAAGCTGCATTTCTTTAGCGGCGTTCTGTCCGAGTAAGTTCTCTCCTTCGGTGTTTTGACGACCGCCGTGGTCGAACCAAAATTAAATGGATGTGGCACCACTTTTCTGGTAATGAGCCGCTGCAGACTGTCGCCGCAAAGCAGCGTGAACGTGTGGGATGGGTAGGTAACACGCACCCCAGTGATTCACACGCGATGAAATGTGATAAAACCTGTGTCGACGAAACGTGCGGCAGACCAGCGGATTCAATACCAACTGCAACACCTGTGCCCCGTGGAAGTGGACGTCTACGCCAGAACAATTTAGGAAGGAGCACGGCATCATCTAGCACGGCATGGGAACCACCAGCTTCAAGTCAGTTCTTCCAAATGACCAAAGTCAGCCTTCGGTCATTTGAACGAAGCGTGAACACGATTGCACATAGTCAAACACGACTTTCGCAATTTCCGTTGCTAATACAGTGCACACGCTTGACTGCAGACCTCAAATATTTTGATGGTCAACGAGAGCACAAAAACGTCGCGCTGAAATTTATTCTAGCGATATCCGAAGCAATCCGAAGTCAGAGCAACGCAGGGCTGATTGTTTCTGCACACCGTTCCTCCGCATTTCCACCTTATACCTACATGAGAGACCACGCTGAACTCTGAAGTCGCTTTCGACCGGCTTCACATGACGGCTCCCGCTCGCTGAGACGAACGACAACGAACAACGCATCCGACAAGCTCCGGCCAATGCTCCGACCCAGATACCAGCCTGGGGTGGGCGCCTGGGCCTGGGCGCTGCCATCTTTCCTGTGACGTCACGTATTTGGTTTGGTCACGTGACGACGAGTAGTCATATTTGCGTACAAATGGCAGCGGCCTGTTGGGGAGAAGGACGCTTGCTTGGGGATCGCTTCGGAGTGCAGACCGGAACGCTGGAACCCTGGTTTACCGTTCTAAGCCCCTCTACCTCGTTGACTGCTTCTAACGTTTCTGACAGGTGACGCAAGCCACGAGGCCCTTGGAGACTTTCTGTCCTTGAAGCTTCTCGACTTCAACATCAACGAAGAGGTAAGTACTGTTTTCAGCACACCTTGCACACTAAAAATTGAATCATTCGGTAATAATAGGGTCATAAGTTCGAATCAAATTTCAGGAGGTACTTCTCGCTCCATCGGGGCCGTTTCTTTAGGTGACCGATTGCTCCGTCCTCTATTTTTAACTTGTATTTTTGTTTTTTTCTCGCTCTTGTTTCAAAGGTTGTTAACACTATCAAAGGATTACTAGGATGATATGCGTGTGCGCTGCATCATTTGAAGCCGTTATAGCCAAAAACAAACAAATGAGTTGTAGTCTGCCCGGTTGGTCGAATGACGTTTTAGCGAACGCCGACTTTTCATCGAAAGACTTTAGTGAATAGTCGGCCGCCGCGAAGCTGCGTTTACGGTTGGGCCAAGTGGGCTGTGGGTTTAATGTGTGGGCTTAGTGTAGGCTTGACTTTTTCTTTCTTTTTTTTTTTGTTTAGAGCGAGGTGGCCGTTTCCGCCTTGAGCGGCGTCGCCGTCGGCGTAACCGCGCGGTGCATTATGAGACGCGTGACGTCACTGATGACGTCATCAGTGACGATGATGTCATCGTCACTGACGTAATTGTGATTACGTCATCGGCAACGATGATGTCATCGTCACTGACGTTATTGTGATTACGTCTTCGGCATCGTCACTGATGACGTCACTCGCGAAAAAATTTCCCCGCTAATCTAGCGTAAAAAATTCACCAAATTTAGCGGAACAAATGTGCTAGCTAATTCAACGGAAAAAATTTCCCACTAAGTTTAGCGGAAAAAATTTCCCCGCTAAATTTAACAAAAAAAATTTCCCCGCTAAATCTAGCGAAAAAAATTCCCCGTTAAAGTTGGGGGAAAAAATTGCTCCGCTAAATCGCCGCCAAATTTATGGAAAAAATTGCTCCGCTAAATCCCCGCCATATTTACACACAATGCTCTCACCAAAGATGGGCATTTTCTGTGATTTGCATTGAGCACATATCGATCCACACCCTTGTTAGTAGTGGAGAATTTCCACCTTCTCCCCTCATTACCCTTCCCTCCTCCTCATCAAGAGCTGCGCTCTAATTCGGGGTTACAGGGGATTGTAACGTCTAACTTTTTTTTCTATAACATTTTTTTTGTTGAGCATTTGGCAATATTTACGTTTAAAGGGGCCCTGCAATGACTTTTTGACTGGCTTTTAATTTGCACCGAACGTGAGCGCACTGAACGTAGTAAACTCATAAAACGATTTTCCAACTTTTTCCTGTTTAAAAAGCATGGGACCAAGCACAGTATACACTCCGTGCAACGCGACTGGCGCGCCGCCGCGCGGCCGGTAGCGAAGGTAGGCAGTGAGAACCCCGGAGAAAACGAAACCGAAACCACGCCGCGTACGTTGGTACGCATTGAAGTCGGAGTGGTGCGGTTGCGCTGGGTTCACAGCATGAAGTGCTGCCTGTGCTGCGTCATTAAGTGCTTCAATAGTTATGCGTCGTATCTCGTGGGGACAAAGTTTCACAGTTTTTCACCTCGCCGATGTTTTCTGGGACAGCGACAACGGTGGAGCCGTGCCGTACGACGCGAGAAATTTGGTCCCCCGATCATGTCTGCCACTGTGTCATCACGGCTGACATATTCTACACTGCCGCTTTGCGCTCTGCGTTTGTTTTCGTACCAGTAACGCCTACATGTGTAAGCGCCGATGGGACGAACTGAAATGCCATCCCACATTCGCGGGTATGAAGTGCCAATTTCGTTGGAGGAATGCCCTCCAAAGAAGTTTCGTCCCCATCGTACGTGTCATTGATATTTCCGGGCAAGTATGGTGCGCAATCTGTACTTCATGAAGAAAGATTCGAACGGTAAAAAAAGTGGCAAATATAAACCTAAAGAAAACAGCAATGAAACTCGGAATCACTGGAGAATCGACGTTTGAGTATGGAAGTTTATGTGGTGTGCTTTCTTTCTGGATCAGCCTCCTTTTGGATGTGAAAACGCGGACACCCTGAGTTCTGTAGACAACAATTTTTTTTCTCGGCTTTAGAGCCACCTATCGCAAAGTTGTTCGAACTGGAAGTATCGTCCACTGGTCCCTTTTTACCTGTAAAGTGTGCACCTCCCACGATGAGTGATATTATCGTGACAGCCTTTGACGGTCAAAACTGGTTCCCATTTAGTTACGCCGCCCAAACTAAATTTCCACCTGGTTTCGCTATGCCAACTCTTTTTGTTATAATAAGTGTTGTGCCAAGTGACGGTCATGTCAAAGTACCTGTGCGCCGAAAATCAGCACCTCGCACAACAGGTTATTACACAACAGCTGACCGCAAAAGCCCTCGGCGGCCAAACTGTGTGTTGGCCGACAGCTTTGTTTTCTCGGCTTTGGAACCACCTTCCGTGAAGTTGTTTCAATTGGAAGTACAGTCCACCGGTCCCTTCCTACCTGTAAAGTCTCCACCTCCCACAATCAGTGGTATTCTCTTGACAGCCTTTTCAGGGTCAAAACCGGTTCCCATTGAGTTACGCCGCCCACACCAAATTTTCACCTGGTTTCCCTATGCCACCTTTTTGTTTTTGTATAATAAGTGATGTGTCATGTTACTGTCAAGTCAAAGCACCTGTCTACCCAAATCTGCACTTTGCACAGCCCGCTAAACACAACATTTTGGGTCCAATATTGGATATCCCGTACAGCTTTATTTCTTTATTCGTTAGAAACATAACTTTCACACCTGCTGTCTTAAAGCAACTTGGCACTCTTCGTGCGCAAACTTAGTGAACATCTCACTCGCCTCCAAATATCATCGTTCCAGCAGTCATAGGTTTACAGCGACGAGCAAAATAAATTTCCCACTCAGAGCAATTATGGTGGCGGCCGTCTTGTTTTTCGGAAAATTGCTCCAATTCCTTTTTCGGTCGCAACTAGAGAAATTACTCCTAATAACGACTCAACCTCAATATATAAGTGGAAAACAGCTAAATGCCCTTCTGCTCCAGCACTCATGCAACGTCACCCGCAACTTACCGGCTCAAAAAGCAAAAGTTTCGTCCGCGCGCTCTTCCGCTGCCACAGTTTGGCATGCGAAAAGGCGCCGCAGGCTGCTGAACGCGCCTCACAGTCGAACGCCAGCTCCTCCGCTAGCGGCGCTGCGCGCGTTTTTCAAAGCGCCCCCTATAGTTCCCGTACGGAGTGTATACAGCTTCTTAGAATTTTAATATATAAACCAATCAAATGTTTATATTGCAAAGACAATTATGAACGTCAAACAGATGTAAGTGATATTGTAAACAAATTGTCTGACGTTGGCATACCAGTATTTCTAGCATAAAAAAAAAATGAAATTAAACGTTTGTGCTTTATCTTGCCCACGAGTTCTCCCATATACCGTAATCAAAAGCAACTGTTCTCGATATGGTATAAATACAATACACAATGCTTTGAAAAAACACACATGGTTATTTTTGCTTTGTAATTTTGTCACCTTCCTTGAGATCCTAAATGTGCGATTATATATATACCTACCGTGCTCTTCCTATTGTGAATGTTCTGCCATTGTTAGTAAGCAAACTTGAGTCCTCATAGGTTACTGACTTTTGAACCCCTGTGCTGTTTTAGAGTAATACATGTACTCAATCTGCGTGAGCACTAATGCTGATTCATGTGCCCATATAGCCGCTTAACACGTATCCGGCATGCCGATAGTAAAAATAGTCAAAACATGTTACAAAACTAACTGCAAAAGTTGCGCACATAATGATGTAATGCCATTACATGGTAAGTGTAAGTGTCGGACAACACTTTCCGGAGTAAGGTAAGAAAGGCGGTGAAACACAACGAAAAACACAAATTTAACGCATCCGCCAGGGCGCGGAGGGGAGAGCGGAGCAACAAGTTGAAGCAACCTAATGGCAGCCGCATCATGTGATTCCAAGATGGCAGTGCCCCTGTGGCGGAGGGTGAAAGGGTCTATACACCCTCCTCAGCAGGTCGATCCACTCCTTGCCGAGTCCTTGCTCTGCCAGTTGCCTCCACAATTTCTCTTGATCCACTGTGTCGCATGCTTTGCTGATATCTAGGAAGCAAAGATATACTGGCCGGTCCTCCCTCTCAATTGCTTGTGTCAGGATGAAGATATTCTCCTTCAGGCTTTTGTCCCACTGGAACCCATTTTGCAGTTCCCCCAGGAGCCCCTGTGTCTTTGCTTGTGCCTGAAGTCTATGTGTATCACTTGCATCTACACTCAGTTCAGCACTGGTGGCGATGTCCCGCCGTCTCGCATAGCCCCTCTGTAAGATCCTTTTTGTTTCCTGCCCCAGCTCCTCCACTAACCTGAATGGGACTCTGTTCATACCTGTGGCTGTGGTCCCTCCCATTCTCTTAATTGCCTCCTTCAGCTCCCTCTCTGTGATTTTGTCCTTGCTTGGTTGCTTGTCCTTGCTTGGCAGAAACATTCAACGATCAATGTTTTTCGCTTTCTAATCAGGGCGAAACTATTCAACCGCCGGTGTTTTTCGGTGCGAGTTTTTTCGGTTGAAACCGGAAAGTGCACAGCCTAACTATAACTGAATAATAATAATAATAATTGAGTTGTGTGTATGTTTATACAGCCTAGAACTTGGTCTGCCTCACAGGGGCGACGAGTCTCCCAGCTGTAGATGAGCAATTTAGCCAGTGCAGTACAACCGCTAGTCTGGGGTCTTTAACGTGCACCACGCAGTAGTGATACACGACCGCACGCCGGTATGATGCTTATCCAGATCGAAACGGGCAGGGGTGGGGATTGAACCCAGGATCCCTGAGTTCTGCAGCGTGAGCTTTCGCTCTACGTGCTCCGAGCTGGTGTGCGCTAGCCCACTCGGCCACCGATCCCCCCTATAACTGACTTGGCTATTAACCCTCTCTGACAAAGTGGAATTCACTGAAACAGCCTTGATCAAGCAGTGCTTGATAAATAGGGTTCCATGTTTTTCAAATAAATCTGAAAAACACTTATTGGAAAATTTTGGGATTTATCTGAAAA